ACAATCTGAAAAGGATGGGAATCCGAAGATGGATAATGCTCGCTCAGGATAGAGGAGAGTGGCGAAGGATAAGAGAGGCCCAGGATCTTACAGGACCGTAGCACCATAAATAAATAAATACAATTCTTTCACGTGGACAATGTTAATAGTGATGTAAGACTACATTCACACCATCTATACAGAAAATGTAAGATAATCAGAAGCAAAATAACAAGAAATAATAATCTTAAAGTATACAAAATTAATGAAAATAAAATAAATTTATTTATTATTATTAACCATACAAAAACGTAGAACATTAGATTAAATTTGCAATCTGCAAATTTCTTTGCAATGAGCAAATTTTTTAGCAGCTTTACAGGTTCCCGTCACCTCCGGGATATAAATCAAATCAGCAGGTCTCTTGGCCAACGCCTACGTAATCGTCGTAGTGAGCTGCACGGGTTTCTTGTACGTTGAAAGACTTCTGTCAGAGGCTTCATGTTTTACATCAGTCTTTGGTGAAAGTAATTCTAGTTTTCTTTTGCATTACCTAAAATTGTAGGTAAGTTTAAGCCTTCATGTAGTATATCATTTGTGACATAAAACATTTTTTTTAATGTTGGAAGTTTTAGCAGAACTCCACAATTCTATGCCATAAGTCTAAATAGGTTTAAGTAAAACTTTATAAAGGATTAGTTTGTTAGTTAAAGATTATTTTGAACGTCTGTCAAGTAATCTGGATAAAAGAACGTACCGTCTGTTTAATTCTATTCTTTTTTTGTCTAATTTGAGTCATCCAAGTAAGTCTTTTGTCCTCGTAAAAACCTAAATATCTAATTACATCTGATGTTGGGGTTTGAATGTTATTAAAATATGTTTCAGGGAAAGGTTTATGGTTAAGTGTAAATACTAAATGCACACATTTTTTTTCATTCATCTTAATTTTCCACCTTGTGGCCCAATCTGCAATATCGTTCAGATGATTTTGAAGGTGCTAAATCTAAGTTTTCGTAAATAAAAAAATGTAGATTACGATAAGATTTGCAAAATTTTAGCTTTATGTTATTCATATGAGAAAAAGGGAGCAACAAAAAAAAAAAAACCTCCACATTCTGAATCCGCTACTGACAGTTACTAACTTGTGAAATATATACTTCGTTACCTCGCTCATACCGTTAGACGTTTTTTTTTTTTCATGAGGATTAACTCAATCTCTATTGTTTTAAGCAGATAAAGTTTCCAGGAAAATAAAGCTAGTACTGCGGCCATATTACTTATTTTGTTTTAGGTAACACAATACTAGGAAGCAGAAGTTTATTAAATGCAGGAAATAATGCCGAGGTTGGATTTCGTAACGAAGTGAAGGTAGTAGCGACCCGAGCCGCAAGAGGGAGCGGTGATATTCATAAATGTCTAGAACTGAGTATTTACGGGCAGGGCCAAAGTTTATATTTATCTCACTCCGTTTATTAGATACACGCGTGTATATATTTCCTGTTCGAGAACAGTTAGCGGTGAATTATATTAGCCGTGCTTATGTCTTTTGCATTTACTCGTTCAAATGTTATGCACAAGTTGTTGTAGGTCACGTACAATAATAATGATTTTAACTAATCAGGATATTAACTATAAAGTTGCTTCCCCTAATAAAAACCATTAGAGGCCGCACTAAGGTTAGGCAGTGATAATGTAGGCCATAATATATTTTTTTTTGGTTGTACTATTGCTATTTTTATTTATAAGTAAAAACAAACTTATATATTCAATTTAATCCTAATAGTTTTTAAAATTTTCGTAATCTAAATAATTAAATTTTAATTAATTCTAACACTTGATTAATAAATATCGCGTAAAAACAAACGGAGGCTACTCCTAGCTCACGGAGACCAACATTGATAGCACCGTGTTTGGCGTATATGGCACAAATAGCTTGGTATCAGGCCACGATTAGCCGAATGATAGCGATTTTATAAAGGAATAACGAATTCCGATTCGAGATATATAATTGGCCAACAATAAAAATGTCAGTACCCAATATACGCAAAATTTGATGCTCTACAACTTTAATTCTATGGGTTTTTCCTCTGAGGGAACTTATTTCCAAGTTACAGGGCCAATTATAGTAATTTGTCCCAGTTTTTGGTAAATTTGGTAAAACTCAGAGTTGGTTGACCGTGGTTTATACCTTACCGCGATACCAAATTTTAAAGTTTATGTACTCGTTTGACGCAAAATTTAACGTTCTTTAATTTATTAAAGAATACATTTTTCGCTTTGATGCATTGTTTAGGAGTTATAGATGAAAAATCCAAAAAATATCGAAAAAATCTGACTTTTTTGGCTGTAAAAAGTTTTCCCTTGGTGGCCTACGTTAGAAATTTTGTTTTTTATATGTCTAAACCCATATATACAAGTTAAAAAAATTTAAACTTTTCTCACATTTTTCGCAATGGATTTCCCGTTTCGATCCTCAAATTATTGGCCTAATATTCTTTAAATCAGCCGCCATTTTCAAAAGCAGACAAGGTTTTTTTTACTCTGAATAACATACACTTTCGTAATTTACAATCAAACATTCACCTGCGATCAGGTCGATTTTTGGGCTCTGGCTTCAGGGCTATTGGTCCACACCTCTCCGACCACCACACCTCTCCGACGTTTCAACATAATATGAATAATTTCTACCTAAATATAAATATTTTTCCAAATACTCTATTTGGACTATCTACAGTTTTTCCAAAACTGTATTGGTGTGTGGTTAAATGACTAAATAATGCAACGTATCAGAAGGTGGGGAAACCGATTCTTATTTTATTGGTAATTATAATCGACCAAGGAAATTAAAATTAGTTTAAATTTTCATTCAAATAGAAACAAAACTGGAGAGTAAAATTCGCTCGATTCAATTCTCTCATCCAGCTCCTCTTTAGTCGTCTCCTGCTAGGCATGTCAGCTGTGGCCATGTCATTGATAAGTCCGTGTAGTTTAAGATGAAATCAGGAGTAGAGAGTACGTATGTGTTGGTCGATAGTCGGTTGCCGTAAGTCTGTATGTAAAGTTTTATTGTTTAAGAACCAGAGAGCTGCTGTTATTAGTCTTAAAGTTTTGGATTGAAATGATTGTAGTTTTTGTAAGTGGATCTTTTTTGCAGAACCGTCAATTTGTGAGGCGTATTTCCATTAGGGTTTGAGTTGGTAAGTGTATGTATTTAGATTTGGTCTGATTTTCAATTTTGATTTGGAAAAAAAGGAGTATAGTATTTTCAATCTTTTGTTCAAAGTCTTTCGTTTCATTCTGAAATGTGGGCCCCAGGTCATCCTTCTGTCGAATAATAGCCCGAGATAACGTACAGTGTCCGTCTGAGGAATTTGGTTGTCGCCGATATATACTGGTGGGCATATGTTTAGTCGAAGTGTAAATGTTATATGCTGTGATTTGTCTTGATTTAATCTAATTATCGAAAGTGAATACTAATTTTGTAAATTTAGTAAGTGATTTTATAAATTCAGTGAGGCTAGTCTTGGGTTATGGTGTTTTATTAAAATTGTTGTATCGTCAGCGTAAGTAGCAGTCAATGTTTCGGAGGAGGAAGGCATGCCATGAGTATAAATAATTTAAAATAAAGGTATATAATTAATACAATAATTATTAAAAAATCTCACATAAAACATGAATAATCTAAAGAAAGATTGCTATAGTTATAATTGATCTAACTTTTGAACCATTGAAGATAAACCAGTAATATAAATATAGTAATATTTATTATATATATTGTTGAAGAAAATTTAATTGCTAAAAACTTTCTTTCACATTACTTTTTTTTTTTTATTTCTTTATGACATTTACAACTGTATTACATAAATACATCAAGTAAATTTGGACATAATTGATATAATGACATGAATACACTTGCTGAGTAACTACCCAATGGTAGCACTCTAATGATATGACTACATTAGGAGATCACGGGGCCATCTTCTTTTCAGACGCCTCGGAGGGTTATCAGGAATTGAAGAGGAAGCAAGGTTAGAAACGAGAGGGTTGGGATGATTCTGAAGTTTATTATGGAAGGATAGGTATCTGGATTGGGCCAGATCTGAAACATAAGGAACATTAAGATCTTTATGGATAATTTTATTAGTGACAAAGTAAGGAGCATTGAGGATTTTACGAAGGATTTTGGATTGTAAGGATTGGATGCGAGAGGAATTCGATGGTTTAGTGGAGCCCCATAGCTCAACTCCGTAAGTCCAAATAGGTCTTATTATAGTCAAGTATATGAGTCTTTTGTAATTAATGGGAAGTTTAGAGCGTTTGTCTAGTAAGTGCTGAAGTAATCGGAAACGTCGAGCGGTTTCTTGTCGTTTCAGTCTAGTATGAGGATTCCAAGTTAGTCGTTTGTCCAGGTGGAGTCCTAGGTATCGGATTTGCTCAACAGGGATAAGTGGGGTATTGTTAAAGGAAACTGTAGGACAGGAAGTCGTTCCCATTACTTAATCGTAGAACGAAGCAATTATGTGTTAGCTAGTCAAATACAGTAAAAAATATAAGTTAACATTTTTTTTTTCATGTTTGCGATAGTTGAGGACGGATATCTCGGAAACTAAGCGAAATAGCGAAAAAAGGTATATAATCAATCATATTGAAAATTTTAGTAACTTTAGTTTTGTATAAGGTATCTTTGTCGATGCAATGGATAGTTTTCCTGATATAAGCTGAAACCTGAAAAATTGACCTTCCAGATTCTCTTCCTCGACTTCTGGCTCACTGCCTAGGAGTGAGGACTTTTAGTATGTTTACCTCCTTACTAGTCCATACAATATCCCAAAGTCAAAAATTTTGTCTCCGTCATTTCCTTCTATAACTTTTCGAGCATCCGTTGACTGAACTAATACTGTATAAAATTGTTTAAAATATTAATGAGGATTATAATATATATTTTTTTATCTCGGACTATTGAATATGCCTGAAAGGGTTTTGTGGATATTACAAAGGAGCCGAGGCAGAAGGATGAGGATTTAGAGTCCGTTGAGTACCTGCTCAGCCGGTATTACATTAATCGCCATAGCTTCCCGCTTCGCCCTCTGTCTGATATCCTACATTACAAATTAACTATTTGTTTAATAATGCTAGAATTATATGTAGCCATAGCGTATCATAAGGGCTTAAAATAGCTCGCCTTTATCCTCGCTATAATTCAATTACGAATAAACGTCAGTCTCATTAAGAACACGCTGTTAATTGGCAACAAAATCCATCTATGCTAAATATAGTCCGGTAGTATAGATCGCCATGGATAGAGAATAGAGGAGCGATGGATTTTGATGAATGAGGAATCAAACGAAAAGAAATTTCATTGAGAAGCGACGAATGCTGATTTCAAAACGTAAAATCTTACGAAAACTAAATAATGATAAAAAGTGTAGCGAAAACGAAAATTTGATGCCGACACCACCAATCGCTCTTTACACACCTCCCGCCACCGTTTGCCGTCCAACCCAACCTCGCTTGATCAGCCATAACGCAATTTTCACACCTTCGCTTCGGTCTAATAATAATAAAAATCTAGTCACTCCATCTGCTTTTATAAATGACACAACTTTCTTTGCTTTTATAAACCACAGAATGACTAATTCCAACTTCAACATTTTTGAGTAATGTCATTTTAGTGATATTTTTAGTTGAAAAAGTTATCTATGCAGACAGTGAGTAAGTTGATTCGGGAGGTGGTGATTGTTGAATATAGAACTGAGAATAAACGTATAAATTTAGATAGTTATTTGTTATGAAAGATATTCTGAGGTAAAATACTTTATTAAATATCTATAGAAAAAATGTTTTTTTAGTCCCAACAATGAAAAAAGTAAATTTTAAATTTATACAAATTTTCGCCTCTTCAGGGGAAAAAAAAAACTAGAGGCCATATATTTCCTCCTAATAGTCCGATTTTAACGAATTTTTTTTTGTTTTTTTAGGAAATTCAATAAACTTTTACAATATCGACAAACGTGTCCTTTTTGAGTTATTCGGAATTTAATTTTAAAATCCCTCGTAACTTCTTCTCCAGCTTCTTATGTTATATAGATAAATTAAAAGGGTGTCGAGAAAATGACTTTAGCGAAGTTTCATTGAAATCGGTACATTCATTTAGGAGCTACACTCAATAGCAACGCAGGTTTTTCTGCATTTTTTTTCTCCTTTATTAACTTATCAAATTCTTTCAAAAGTTATATTAAGCATTTTTTTGTAACTTTGAATAATGCGAAATGATTAACTTTTTAAAATAAACCATATTAAAGGTACTTTAGAGGAAGACGTATATGAACATTGGGCATTTAAGCCCTGTAAAGTGACATCAATGGGGATAAGACCTAAATGATATTAAAGACCACTTAATTATACAATGATACACCGAGTTTAATCAAAATCGTTAGAGCCGTTTTTGAGAAAATTGTAAAAATGTGTTTCAGCGTTCATATAAAGTGGCACTTCCGGTTAGCCGATTTTAACGAAAAAGTTACTGTCACATCCGGCTCATATACAAACCTTAAATACTTAATATCAGTTTCGTTCTATTTTTCATTTATGAGCTAGACTGTTAACACACACACACAGACCATTTTGGGACACTTGGTTATTTGGACTCAGGGGACCTCAAAACATGTATTTCTGTTGAAGACTGAGATTCGAAAATTTTCACGATCTCAATACTTATATTACATATATGCGTAAGTGAAAGTAAAAATAAATTGAAGAGGAGGTTAAGTTAGGTTGAAGGTAGAAAATTATTGTGACAATACTATTTAGTTCGCGCCTCCTGCCCCAAAAATTAATTAAAAATTTACATAACCATTATCTTACCTATGTTTCTTTATTCTTACGAACGAAGCCGCTTACATCAGAGAATGAGCAACGTCTTCAGGTTTTTGAAGAAAAAGTATTATGAAGAATATTGAGGCAAAAGAAAGATGAGTCAACCGGAGAGAATTCAGACGGTTATACAACGCCTGGTTCAGGGAATTGTATCTGGTTGAAAAAATAAGGTGATTACAATGTAGTGAATAAACTGGGCGTGTATAATTGTTGGACTTACGAAAGAGATCATAAGAAGTTAATGTACGCTGTGTCATCTGAGAAACGTATTCAAACTTAAAAAGATTTTCGTTGTTATGAATTATTTACGATGATTTAGTTGAACACGTTCCACTACAACTTTCACTAGTCCGTGCTTTGTTACCGCTATTATTATTTATTTCTTAGTTCTGTGTTACTGTTATTATTCTACATACTTGATTTTACTTCAATGTTCACTCTATCTACTTCATTTTACGTTAAGTTTTTCTAACTAAATTTTTAGTCTACACCTTTCACTTTTTAAATTTATTATTCAATGTTTATTGTTTCTTATACGTACTACGTCGAAACGTCGGAGAATGTGAAAATAAATACAATTATTTATTTTTAATAATTTGTTTTGACAGATTACCCTAACCAAGCTTCTCTTCAAAAATATATTAAAACCTTTTTATTAATAAATAAATAAAAACATTTTAGTAAGTGAGAGAACTGCAATGAACAGCTCTTATGCACCAAACAAATAGCTCTTGAGTGAATAACATTTTGTTATCATATTGCATACACGAATACAGATATTTTGTTGGTTATACGTAGAATGCAATAAGCAGACGGATAAAAATATAAAGTGATATTTCTCGCTGGGGTATACTAGTTTAAACATAATACGGTAATATAACAAGGTAATGGCATATACTTACTTCCCTTGTCATCACAATTAGCGTGATGTTGGGAGTGGTGGTCTCATAGAATGCAGTGCTGTCGGTGATGTTGAGGCCGGAAGAAGGACTCCATTCCCCGACCTTTCGCAGTTCCTCTCGCTTCAGCTTAAGGAGATCCATCTTGAAGTTGCTCCTTCGTCCTTCTGTGAACTCTATTCTTCCAGTCAGGCCGTGGTGAGTCACCTGAAAATATGTAAAGTTTACATATTGTGATGTATATATATATAATACTTATGAACACCCATTCGCTTTCCACTTGAATTGTAAGATAATCTACGGTTTGGTCGAGAAAAAAGGTGGCTTATATAACCTCGATTTATTTTCCATTACTAAGTTGAACAGGATCGGCAAGAGTTCATCTCTCTGCCGATCCTGTTCAACTTAGTACTGGAAAATAAAACGAGCCATCTTTTTTCTCGATCAAATCATCCATTATCTAACATTTCAAGTGGAAAGCAAATCAGTTTTCATAAGTATTGGATGGATCCAGAAGTTCGTTTTCAAAACCAAAAAAGTTAAATGTTTTCGACATTTTTTACTTTTCCACTTTTAACCCTTAAACGACGCTTCAAAGCGAAAAATGTAATCTTGAATGAATTGAAGAACGTTAAATTATGTGTCAAACGAGTACATTTTTTTTTTTTTATAAGTAAATGATTTATTCAGTTGAAAATTCAAAATATATTTGTGATGTTACATAGATATTTAATATATATATATATATATATATATATATATATATATATATATATATATATATATATATATATATATATATATATTATTTTCTAAAGTTATTTTTATAATTATTCTAAAAATTAATGATTTAATATGTAGCCAATTTTCTCTGTTTTGAAAATAAAAATATATATGCACATCTTCAGTACTACATTAACATAAATTGCTTAGTAACTGATTATTTGTTTATTGATAAATATTACAATCTGTCTCAATAAAGGACATTTATAATAGAGTTCTGAGAGCACATTCACATTATATTTACAAATTTAAAAAAAAATAAAAAAAATAAGCTAACTTCAAATAATATAAAGCTACAAAAGAGAAAAACAAAATATCATAGTGAAGGAAGAAAATATAAATAATAATAATAATAGAATTAAAATAAATGAATAAAAGAGAAATAAAATTATCTTAAAAAAAAGTAATGAAAATAAACATCTTAGATGCAGTCATACCTATTTACACTATTTACAGTCGGCCATGGGAACTCCGAACCATACTTATTCCCCCACATGTGGAGGGAAAGCAAGGCTTCTGGAGATCCCTGAGCTTCTTCCTCAACCATTTCACTGGTATTAAAAGCCAACGGAGATTGAGTAAGGGCGCTACGACCACGGACACTCTTGACTTGAGTGGAGAATCTGGCCATTGCCAGAACTCCAATATATACATGTTACAAAAGGTCACGGGGCCACTACCGTTTCAGCCTGCGAGGAGGATTGTAGGGATGAGTGGTGCTAGATAGGGATTGTGCTACGGAATTAAGGTGGTGGGTAAGGTTCTGATGAAAATTGGAGAATTTGTCTGAGATAAGATCAAGAACAAACGAGTACATTAAATTTATAACTTGGTTACTTGTTAAGTTATAAAACCATGGTCAACCAACGCAGATTTTTTACCAAATTAGTCAAAAACTGAGACAAATTTCTATAAATTGCCCTCTAACTTGGAAATTAATTCCCTAAAAGGATAAACCCATAGAATCAAATTTTGAGAGAACTGAGTACTGACATTATATTGTAGGCCAATTTTTATTTTTATTTCTCCAATCGGAATTCGTTATTTCTTTCTGAAATTCGGTATCTTTCGACATATCATTTATTAGAGTTCTCCGCTGCTGAGAGTTGGAAACGAGGTGAAAACTGCATGTAACTGACTCTAAACAAAAATAATTCAGTAAAGTAGACACCTATATTGTTGAAATATTGAAAATCACGTTTACCTTCAGTGCCAATTTCTAACTATAGGTTAGGGATTACCGATTTTATTCGGAGTAAGTGACCTACATTAAATTAGGTAGTACTCAGTGGACGCGAAATTTCATGCTTTACAACTTTTTTTTCCTCTTAGCTAAATCATTTCTATGTAGTAGGGCCATTTATAACAATTTGTGTCAGTTTTTGATTAATTTGGTAAAATGAGCGTTGGTTAACCGTGATTTTATAACTTATTACGTAACCAAGTTGTAAAGTGTATGTACTCGTTTGAAGCACAATTTAAGGTTCTTTAATTAAAGAGTACATTTTTAGCTCTGATTCATCTTTTAGAGGTTATAGATGAAAATAATGTCGAAAAAAGCTTACTTGCTGGCCCTTGTCAGCATTTTTTTTTTTACATGTCTAAACCCATGTATAAAAGCTAAAAAAATAAAAACTTTTCTTACATTTTTCGCAATGAATTTTCCGTTTCGATCCACAAATTGCTGTTCTAATATTATTTAAATCAGCCTCTATTTTGGAAAGGAGCGGCTCTGGAACGGCAGAAAAGTTTCTTTTTACTCAGAATAACATACACTTTTGTAATTTACAATCAAACTTTCGTGTGCGATGTGGTCGATTTTTGGGTCCTGGTGCCAGGGCTATAGGAGAAGTGGGTTGGGCGCACAGCTTCTTTCCACCCGCAGATAAAGCTTTTAAAGTATATTATTTATTTGTAAAATTTTATTTATTTGTAATTAGCAAATAAAATTGAAATATATGAGAGTAATACAAGATCATATGAGTTGGCTCGTTCCATCCCATTCACCCAGGATATTTGTATCTGTGTTGTGTAAAAACTTCAGATTTAAATAAATACGTATTTGTGGTATTGCTGACACTGGTATGAAAGTGGAACGCTACTTTCCAATAAATCGATTGGCTGCTTTATGGTGAGTGATCCGTTCCTATTGGTCGTAACCTGATGTTATGAAAACTAAAGCTTTCCTCTATAAAAGATCTATTTAACGCAAAACAATCGTTTAAATCGGTTTGGCGATTCTTGAAATTAACGCCTTCACATGAACTTTCAAGCTTTATTTATTAGTGTAATTGTGGTAAATTTAATTAGTTAGTATTAGTGAAGAAGGTAAAGTTATTTATTTTCGATATTCATCACTTGTTAATGTTAGTGTTGGTAATTAAAGTAAGGCAGGGTTCGAACTAACTTATATTATATCGTAGCCACCACGTTTAAGAAACGTATATGAAACCCTAAATTTTTTAATTGCTTAGTTTTATTATATTATTAGAAGAGTTTACGTAAGTTAAAATCTTGACTCAGAGTATTTAAAAAAACGCATCAAATTATTCCACAATGGTTTATTATTTCCAAACAATTATATATCTAAAGTAACATTACCTTCCTAGTTACAAAGAAAAATAAATAAAAGGTGATTCCAATTATTGGACGAAACTATTTTTTTTTAATCATTAGTAATATGCTAAAAAAAATAGCATTACTTCAGTAACATATTCAAAATTTAAAAACCAAACAAAGGATATAACATTTGGAGTAGAACATATAAAAAAAAAAAGGAGACCATATCATTGCTCCGAATTGTCCGATTTTAACGATTTTTTGTTGTTGTTATTTTGGAAATTTCATACAAAAGTGTATACTTTTTGAGTTATTCGAAATTAAATTTTAGCATACCTCATAACTTTTTTTCCTGCTTCTTTTCGTTGAAGTATGTTATGTAGATAAATTTAAAGGGCGTCAAGAAAATGACTTCAGCGAAGTTTCATTGAAATCGATACATTCGTTCAGGAGCTACAGTCTAGAGCAACGAAGGTTTTTCGGCCGCCATTTTGAAAGTAAAAGGCGGATAGTAATGTCGATGAAGGAGAATTATCCTCGGGTGATCTCTGATTTTATATCCAAATTTGAAAAAAAATCGGTCCAGTAGTTTCGGAGAAAAAGCGCGGAAGGCGGACGGCGGACGACGGACGGACAAAAAAATTTTTATTCGTTTTTCGGATTCTACGCATCCTGAAACGTGAAACCTCAAATTTTGATAGGGGGTTAAGTTTTTTAATTTTTTGGTCGATCACAATGGTTGATTATTGAAAATAATAAACCAAAATTAATAAATAATTTTTAATTCATAATAAATAATGTCAATGTAGAATATTTATTTTGGAAGTTTTTCACATTTCTTTATTGAGCAATATTAAATTCTGTTACAATCAAGGACACTAGAAACAGTGGTAGAGTAACTCATTCACACTCCGTATACAATAAATAAAAAATAATTAAACAGCAAAATAATAATACTAAAAGTAAATGTATATAAAAACAAAAATAAATTAAACTAATCAAAATAACAACTTTAATAAAGGCATTCTTTTGTAAGATATTTACAAAAATTCATTAACTCAGGGAAACACACCACTCTAGGACTCTAGGAGATCCCAGCGCGTCCTATTTTTTGCTTATAGATACTCAGAAAAATCTCAAGGAAGACCGAAGATTGATTATATAAATGCTTATACCTTATTAGTTAAAAGCGATTAAATCGTTCTATAATGTTATATAATACTATAGAAGTGACCTTAGACTATTTGGGTTTTTTTAACCTGTCACTGTTTTGAACGGTACAAATTTTAGTATTTATACGTAGTCATTTGTACACTTTACTATAACAAAAAAACACCTCAATTCTATCTAATTGTTATAATAAAAATTAAAGAATTTAAATGAAAATTGTCACAATCATTTTCAGTCTCTTCTACTCTTATAAGTTACTGTTTTCGATGGTTTAAGGTTCACTAGGTTCATATTTCATAGGCATGGAGAAGCTTTGTACCATAACTATATAGTTTTAAAGTATTACGAATTTATTAGTAATTATATTTACCGTGCAAAAAAACTCAATAAAAATAATCTATATTCTGTACTTTAAACAACATAGAAGTGATAATATCAACAAAACGAGATTAATAATATAAAATATAACATTTTTTTCTATATTCATAAAGTAATAACATTTACAATATATACAATAATAATAGTATATAAACTATTTGTTGTTATATATTCGCAAATTAATAACATTTATAATATTTACAATTATAATTGTGTATAAATTATTGTAGTAAGCTTGAATCTGACTGATCGTCATTTGTAACACAATTTAAAAATGATACAATAGATTATGAAAACTAAAATATGCAATAAATACT